CACAAAAAATCATCCTTGGATTTTCCTGTCATCTTTCGGTTCCCAACTCCCACGAACATATGAATTAGAGTCTGATTTTGCATTGCTACCATCACCATCTATACACATCGGATCATAATCCCTCAGCTCTAAGAGAGCATATGCTGCAACATTAAATAGACCTTGATCAATATCGGGCATTCTATATGACTCATCAGAAGAATTTTGTTCTTCCACTGTAGCAGGCAAAAAGTTCAAGCCAATTCGGTATATACAACGAGGTTTGTGAGCATCTCTAAGATCCATTAAGAGAGCATCACCGACCCTAAAGAGAAAGGCAAATCCATAAGAATGAGGAACTTCAACAATGCTATGTGCGAGTGGCTCAGCTTCAAGATATTGTGAAACCAAACAGATAGAATGGTCTCTAACATTCCATTCGAATAGCCGTAATTCATTCAGGAGAAATTCTTCTCTGTAGCACCAGACATAACAACTTGTATTTTAGATTAATTAAACTCAAAGAGAAAAAAGATACTAAGAAAATATTTAACTAAACAAGAAGACAAAAACTCTTAAGTAGTTATCACACATTCAATTCTTGTACCTTTGCATAACAACAGCTAGAACAGGATTATGATCCTTATTTGGTTGACTAGGATCTTTTGAAATGAAGCACATGCTCCATATTGTACCAGACATTCTAGTTCTCTGCGTGCTTCTTGTGGTAACTGCATCCTCTTTGTCAGGAGGATAATATATTCTCTGCAATGAAAAAAAAAAAATACCCCAATTACTTACAACAGTGTAAGCCTATATGATTAGTCTGCAATACTTCACAATACAATAGCTACTCTAAAAAGTACCACAATAACTTAGATACCTTATCGATTATATCACTTGTAGGAGACATTGAAAGGGAAAAGAGAGCAAACCGGTCATCTTGTGCACTAACAGCAACAAAACAACCACTGTAAAAGAAAAATTACAAGTCTTGAGCATCAATGGCAATTACAAGGACGTAAATCTTCTAGCTCTGCAGTTGAAGTTATTAGTATGATTAGAAAGCGGAAATTTTCTAATTTTTACACAGAAAAATCTATAAGGAAAAACAAAAGAATAAATCTAATTTGGAAAACATTTTCATGCTGACCACTGAATTCTGCTTAAGAGTGCTCGGGAACAATAATTATACACTTCTAAGTCTCTGTTTGAATATCTCATTAAAAGACACCCCTTTATCACATTGTCAAAGTGTTTTAGAAAGCTCCAGTTCTGTCAAAGGTAAAGATGTTCACATAGATAGTCATGCACCAAAAGCTCCACGCTAACAAGATGCTACAAGTCTTAGCATCCTCACTGCGCTTTATCTCCGGATATCTGGGTCATGTGCTATAGAGGAGGGGAGTCACATTCCCACATAGTCCTCCATTGTGAGATAGCTTAGAAGATTTGGACAAATATGTTTAGCTTGTTTGAGTCACTCCTCTTATAGTTGAGAACTTCTTAGGTGTATACATCGAGCGAGAAGGGTGAGAAAAAATCAAACTGATTGTGACAAGGGGCAATTCTCTCTAGTTTATGGACCTTATCGCTGCAAGA